CAGTCCCGATATCAATCAGATATATATATATATAGTTTATTATATTGATAATGCAGCGAATTTTACTTATTGGATAAGTTAATAAACTTTGATAAGTGATTGCTTATATATAGAAGGTGCTGATGAGACTCCATCAGTCTACTTAAAAAGATGCAATCCATCAAAGTGATATTTTTACTGACATTCTTTTTTGGTGTATTACAGTGTACCGATAACAATCTAATATCATTCAGGAAACACTTGGCCTTAATAAAACAACATCCCTGTGGCACTCCGCAACCTAGGGTGCTCGAGTCGATAGCACTTATACCCGAAGAAATTAACTCGGAGTCGGATTTGAAGGTAAATTATTTTCAATAGCGGCATTTTTCCATAAACTTACAAAAACTTTTATACATATCATTTTACTTCATTAGGGGTTAATTTTCCTAGTTGGCGACTTTTTTGGGTTTCAGATTATACCACCATTTACGGTTTTGCACAGGTGTGATTCTACTGGTTGCTGCGAAAACAGTACAATGAGATGCAAGCCACAGGAAATAGAAGAAGTTACGGTGACATTTGCCCTTCTTAGGCCATCCTACAACCTCAAATATCTCAAAGTGAATTTGGTGAATCATACATCCTGCAGTTGTTCATCTCTTCACTGATAATGATAGAAAATAACATCTTTTATTTTATGTTGGTCCTATGTAAAGTGAGTAATAGTTTTAAAATAAATATCTGATATGTATATTTTTATCAAATAAAAAAATTGCAGCAAAAAATAACTAGGTATGCTTATTTCAACCCTCTCCAAGGGGCAGAAATTTTCGAAGTTATAAAACGCATTAGTGGAAAATTTGCGTAAAATTTGAAATTAATTAATAAGAAAAGCGTATTAAAATATAAGATACTGGCCATAATAAATATGTATATAATTTTAAAATTAGTAAATTATCAATTTAGAGAATTATAGCTTTATTATTAATACTGGAACATTTTATTGAAATGCAAGAGACAGAATAGTTTCTAAGGAGACGAATTTTTAAATGCCATTTTTCAATTGTAAATTTTCAATCGAACAACAATGAAAAATAAAATAACAGTAATAAGATACAGTAACATCGTAAATTACATTCTCCTTTGTTTCTCTAATTGTGGAAAATAAAACCTCTTTTAAAGGGCTGTAACTCTGCACAGTTTCTGGAAATAAGTATACATAGAAGACTCGCTTCTACCTTTTGGAAAGGTTTTCACAACATTAAAGAATCCTGTATTTGTGATATACAAGCTTTTATTATATATTTTCTTCAGCGTGCCGTTTAATAAATAAAAAAATAACAATAACTAGTTTTTGTTCTACATAATAATACCTAGGAATGTGTATTCAGTTGTAAATAGTTAGTTGTCCAAATTTCATTTAATTCCCTCAAGTGGAAATCTAGATTTTTGGAAAAAACCTATTTTATTTTAAAACTTTGACACCCTGTAGCTAAGGAACGAAGCGAAATCGGACCCATGTTGATATGAAAAAATAATCTTGTTTTTAGTTTAAGAATCTACCCTCGAACGTTGGCCCATGTTTTCTGAAACACCCTGTATATAAGGTATCTCCAAGGGCTTTTAAGATAACAAAAAATAAACCACAGGGCATATACTTAGTATATACTGAGACACCTTCACCACCTCACCCTGCTGTTAATTATGTCTGCCTGGCCACAAAATATATAATAGATGTCTGGCTGTCACTCGTCATCGTCAACCATATTGGTATATGTATTATGTTTTACTGGTTGCCTACCTGTTTCATTCTTGACATGGCTATAGTCATGATGTTAGAGCGCGAAATTTTGAATACAGTTATGAGCCTCATCCACAGGTTAAAGGAAATATATTGACACAATATAGAGAAAGGAAAGAGATTTCAATTGGGGTAAAACTGATAAATAAATAATACAATGTAAAAACAAATTCGTTTAATTCTACATGAAATAAATACCAAACAACGGAATAACGGAAAATAAAAAACGTATCACAGATCGATATAGATTAATAGCAAGGCTATTATTTCTTTTTATGATATAGCGTTGTCAATTTCGTTATACGTGTTCGAACAGGTACATCGCGTGTGATTAGTCAATTGGACGTCGACGAATTTGAGATACTTGTGGAGAACGGAAAACGTCACTGTCACTTCCTCCATATGGGCCGGCGCGCATCTCTCTGTATTCTTTTTACAACATCCGGCATTGAAACACCTGTGCAGAACTGTGACTGCTGGGTTGATCTGAAAAGTGAACAAAAATTAATATTTTTGCCTTATTAGTGCTAATACTACTAACACAAGAATGAACAATGTATTTAATTTTTAACCCATTACATAGATGGCGCAACATGCAGTCAGGAGTGATATTCAAAGAATTCACTCGAGCAAACAAATGCAGTACGACAGAATGATGATAGATGGCACCACAGACATTTACTTTGTAGTAGAGTGTAGAGATGGGTTTATATGTAAAACACCGCGGAGTTTGAAATTTAAGTGCAACACAGACGTGGTTACATCGTAAAAAAAAGTTGAGAATAATAATATTTCATATTAATTTGACGAAAAAGCACATTCTGCTTCACTTTGCCAGCGTAGAGGATATCTTGAATTTTAAAACTGACAGGTGTGCCACAGTTAGACTACTGAAAATAACTTACGGTCCCTTCTGCGTAAATGTCCTTCGATATGAGCTTATCGGCTTCGAACACCCTCGGCTGGGGATCACCACAGGGATACAAATTCACGTTAGCTATATGCCGCTGGAAAGCCTTCCTCTCGTTAGCGCACTCTAGGACACCAACGGCGAACAGCAGTAGAAGGGCTACTTGGACGGCCTGCATGGTACTTCACTTGTCTTCGACTTGACCGATTGTGGTAAGTGGTCGGCCAGGCAGGCGCCTTTTTATGCGAGGCTTGATCTACCGCGGCTGGCGATTAGGGGAATCCACGGACGTCAGACGTAAAGACTGGTTTCTAATTGAGACCATCGCTTCTGGGCGCGGGTTTTCGTAAAAATGCATTATATCTACTTTTCGGAATTCGCGCCAGTCCCGATATCAATCAGTTTCGAGAATAATAGTAATATTAGCCATTGTATTATTCAATCAATGGTCGTTTCGACTGGAATAATTTAGGGCGCCGTCGCCACAGAATAATGTTTTGTACTAAGTAAGGAGTAATTGTCCATAATCCCCAATTTTTTTACAATTGTGTAAAAACATGTTATAGAATACATTAAAATGTACGAGCGGCGCATGTAGCGGGGAAAAAATGTTATTAACCATTTACGTAGGCCCATTTTCAAACCTCAAAATACTGTATTCCAGTATTTTAGTTCGTTGCCCAGCAAACAGATGGGAAACTTACTTTTTTCGCCGATCTACAGTAAAGGCATAGTTTTAGTGACAGCTCTTAGGCACTTAATTGTTACATTCACTGCCAAGGCATTAGAATAATTTTAACTGCCGCTAAATTAAAAATTAAAATTTGTTCTTATCGAAACTAATTTTATTTATTGTAAACATTTATAGTTAAATTAGAACAGCCTGTAAGCGATATCCCTTGTCCTGTTTGTTTTGAATCATTTACTTCGTCTATGTAGATTGAAGTGTTTTCACTAATACATGGTTTATGAACTACTGAATCCTCCAAAATGGTTGAATTATTTAAATAATCGCTTCCAGAACTTGCTGTACTTGTAGTAGAGAATTTTTTTTGTTAACATCTGATTTACGAGTTATGGAATCCTCAATGTAGCCTTCAGCTACCGTTGAAGATTTCTACACACCATGCATTTTTAAAGTTGTAATATCAGCTGCTGAATTTATTAATATAGTATTAATAGTGTAGCTGAAGTTCTATGTTAACAATGTCCGGTATATTCGTGACCATCCTTCAACGCAGCAACTTGTTTTGGCATTTTCCTAGATGTGTGAATTCCTATTAATTGGTTATATGTTTTACCATTTGAATATTTAAAAAAAAATCTGTTACTATCTCTTTGTGTAGGTCTTGCGGTACCATATTTTCGATATACAGGTAAAAGGGATTCTTCTGTAACTGTAACTCTGCAACTGTACAATTTATATAAAATGATTTTAATAAAAGTTGCCTGGAATCATGTAGGCTATGTGAAGGAAATATTTTTATCTTTACAGGGTGTTCCATTTCGCGTGGGTGCTACAATAACCTATATTATTGAATTTTTGAATTCCTTGGTTAATATTGGGTAGAGTTTATTAAATGTACATGGTGTTTAATACTTACCGTTTTCGAGATAATCAGTTGTTTTTGAAAAAAATCACGTTCCAGCTCTCTTTTCACAGTTCGTTTTAGTATAATCATCTTGTCATCTGCGAGCAAAGCGTGTACCTTATTCAGACTTGGAAATACTGAGACCTACATTTAATAATCTTACGAGTTGACCCATATTAATTGAGATGGGCCAATGCAAAATTGAATACCCTTTCGACTTGTCCTTTAACAGATTTCCAGAAAAATCAGGTTCTTTTCTATAGTTAGTCCGAAAAAGTAGCTATGTAAAAGCGTCAAGAAGGCCTTGCAATTGTATTAGTACAACGTCGATACATAGGATTTTACAAAAGCACAGCACATCCTTATCGCATCCAATTACATCAAGAGTTACTAAAAGTAGACTTTCAGCGGAGACTGGAATTTTGTCAGAGATGTTAAATCAAGATGATGATTTTTTTTAAACGGATCGTGTTCTCCGATGAGGCTACTTTTCATAAAAATTATTTCGGTAATAGTCATAATTGCCATTATTATGACACAGTAAATCCTCACCAATTCCGGAAAACTCATAGTCAACGATGGTCTTTGAAAGTGTGAGGAGCAATTTTGGGAACCCATGTCATTGGACCGTTCTTTTTTGACCAGCACCTAACTGGAGCAGTTTATATAAACTTTTTAACAAACACTCTAGAAGATTTGTTAGGTGACATTCCTTTAGCTACACTTCAAAGAATGTGGATGCAACATGATGGTGCTCCACCTCACAATACCGATAATTCGTTAGTTTTTACACGAAACTTTTCCCAACAGATGAATTGGGCGTGGGGGACCAGTGAGTTGGCCTTCAAGGTGTCCAGATATGACAAGTTGCGACTTCTTTTTATGGGGATTTATAAAAAGCAAAGTTTACATTACACCACCAACTACCGCGGAAGATATGTGGCAGCGCATTTCAGTAGCATTTCAAGTAGGGTTTCTGATTTCTCGGCCTACTTTTTTTCTCGGGACTCGAGAATTCTCGACTAAGAGTTCCCGGGAATTCTCGAATTCTCGAGAAATTTCTAAAACGTAAAAAAGTCATAATGTTGGTATTGCAATGAGAAATATAAACATGCTATTATACTTAACAATCATCATTAACATTTATTATTTATTCAGTATTTTTATCAATTACTTATACTCGTATTATGTTTCTACTTCTACTAACAAAACTAAATTACACTTTGAGTATTTTCTTCTTAAAAACCGTTAACTTGTTTTTTTATTAAACACTTTCATTATACTTATGTTTATTTCAATGTTTTTGAATCGTAGCTTTCTTCCAATAATTATTAATAATCATTAATCATGCACTCTTTTAATTAAACTAATAGTAAATAAGGAATTTAACCGTAGAAATCTTAAAAAAAAAACAAGATTTAATTTAAAGATACAGAAGCGATCTTCCTATTAATTTATCACTTATAATCACAATCTTTTAATTAACAAAACAAAAATAAAATAATCAACTAAAGGAACAGGAACTAAATATTTTAAGAATCAACATCAACATTAGGTAGGTATCTGCTTATAATAAAATTTCTACACAGACTTATAACAAGGTACATTAAAAAAATAAGAATCGTCAGCGTAAACTAAAGCCTTAAAAACTTAAAATAAATAAATCATGAGCTAGTCGAGAAACCACTTTAACCGCTCAGTTATTTGTCGAGAAATGAATTGAACGCATGAACTTAACGAATTCCTGTCAAGAACTTAAGACGCGCGTGATTTTTAAATTTCTCGATTTCTCGACACTTTTTTCTCGTCTCGAGTAAGGCTAGATTTCCCGGGAATTCGAGAAGTCTCGACCAGAAACCCTAATTTCAAGACATGCTGACCAATTTTGAACAATCTTTTAAAAACCGATTTCGTTTGTATATTAATCAAAATGGAGGACACTTCGAGCAGCGGGTAAATCAGCGGTCTAAGTATTCTTGTCCTTGTGTGTTCCGAGTTTGAGTTGGTTTCGTTTTGTGTTTTGTTTTATTTGTTGTTAGTGGTTTACTTTTGTTTGTCAAATCACTTTTTAAACATGCCAGTAAATATTGACACTGTCAGTCTTAGGCCTGATAAAATGTAAGAGAAAAGTAGTTTTACAAGGCCTTCTTGACACTGTTACCATAGCTACTTTTTTAGACTTTAGAACAGAACCTGATTTTTCTAGAAAATTGCAAAAGGTAGATATGGACAACCTTATATCAGTCGAAAGGACATTCAATTTTGCATTCATCCATAACAATTAATATGGGTCATTCCATTTGATAAAAAAAGTTTTTCAACTCGTAAGATTATTAAATGTAGGTTTCAGTATTTCCGAGTCTGAACAACGTACACGTTTTGCTCTCAGATGACAAGATAGAGTAATTATGCCAAAACGAACTGTGAAAACCGCAGGTTTCTAATTCTACGGTTTGAAAAGAAAGCTCAAATCGTGATTTTTTTCAAAAACAACTGATTATCTCGAAAACGGTAAGTTTTAAACACCGTATTTAATAAACTCTACCTAGTATTAACCAAGGAATTCAATAATATATTTCCCAACTGAGAATCTGCTGATGTTTTCTCTGTTTCATTATTTATTTCACTTCAACACATCAAAATAGTGACGAATTAGATCACGCATAAACACATTCGCAGTTATTCATCTACACGAAAATATTTGAAATAAATAAACTTAAGCCAAACATAGCTGCAGATAAAAACGGTTTCCTGCCTAACATGAATGAACCGTGAATAGAAACGGAAACATTTCCTCCTTTAAACGTAAAAACGCTTTGATAATTCCCTTCATGAGAGATAAGAAATTGTCACGCAACGCTCATCACTTAGATTGTCAATCCAGACTTTAATAAACAGGTAAGTCAAGATCAAGGTTTTCCGTTTTGTTTTCTTATTTTGTATGTTTGTTTTGTAAAATATACTGAAGAAAGCACACAACGCAACAGTATCATTCGCTGTAGTTAACGACTGTTAATACTTGCATTTGCTTGATCAACCTGCGTAGAGCAAGCCAAACTGCGTCTTCTATTATCTCTAAACACCCACGTCATCACATCATTTTTGTTGCCGATGAACGTAGGCGAGTAAAAGTATGACGTAAGAAATATACGGACTGAGAATACGTAGGTCATTAAAGGAATAACCAATCAAAACGTTGTCATGTTTTTTTTTTCAGAGCGAAATTTTTATTTACAATTAGACAAACTAATAGTGGCTCCCGTTGCTTCCTATTTTTTTTAATGTACTTTGTGAATACCTACGTTAAAAGTACTGAGTGAATTTAATGAATTAACTCTTGAGCATGTTTTCAAACAGAACCAGAAATTTTATACTCCTTGGAAGAGGATCCTGGTTCCAGTGCTCGAAGATTAGCCACAAAATTTCAAGTATGTCATATGCTGTAAAAATCAGATGAATGACAATATCCAACTATGTTTAATTATTATAAACCTAATGTGAATAAATTAATTCATAAAGATGTACCTACAACATACGTTTCTATCTTGTTATACATATTTAAAATTTGACAAATTGGAAGCAACCTGTAAATGTTTAGAATGTTATTTTAGATTGACAACCTAACCTAACCTAACTTCATCGATGAAATCTAACAAAGCAAGAACCACCTAGTAATTTTATAAAGATATATTCCCCCGTAATCAGTTTTTCTCTTATTTAAAATATTTTTACTGAGCTGCTTCATTTTTAAAAAGATAATAAATTCGAAGGGCATCATATTTAATATCGCAGAATTCAATTCGGCGCAACTTAAACATTTTTAGGAGCCTCAAAGATAGGCGAATGATTGTTACTCTTGTGTGAATTTAAAAAGGACCAGACTTATGTCGCGTATCCAAAAACTGGCGCATTCGCCAAAACTTCAAACAACCAAATTCGAATTTCCAATCGTTGAGTTTTTCAAGATAGTTTTTTCAATGTTCAGTAGATATAAGGGTGTTCTACAAGCTCTATAGCAACCATCATTTTTATTTATCAGGTTACTTTGATTGAAATATGAAATTATAATGTATAATTTTTAAAATGCTTGTAACTTATGTTTGCTATGTAAGTTAAACAAGTAAAACAATTGAACAAGTTCGCACAGGTCAATACCACATCATTGTCCTCCTACTGATAGTAAAATAACAAAATGCGGTTTGTGTTTCAAGATCCTACTCTAATTTAACGGACGCACAATCGGAAATGACGTTTATGGCTATTCCGTACTTGTAGAAAATTTGTTACAAAGCTTTTTACAATGCAACCGGGAACAAAAATCTAGTCACTATTATTTAATTAAATATCTTCATTAGAATAATTATTTTGCATTTTTCTTATCGAGCAAATACTTAATACTTGTAGAATACTGAATAGGCTATTGAATATAGGATTTTAAAAAGGACTAAGATATATTATTACATGAATCGTTCAAATGGTCATTTTAGATGAAAAAACCGTGGAGTGCTATTAAATTAGAAGGTGGAAATTGGAGATAGGGGTAAAAATGCACCCCTTTTAGCAAAATTTCGCAATAGTTCATAGGAAAAAATCATTTAGAGAATTGAATTTCCCATCGAAATAGCTTATTTAAAAAATTTAAAAGGTACATTTTATGCAAAGAATCGTTAATAAACAATTTGAAAAAAAGGAAAAAATTAGATTTTTTGATTTTTTTTTACTTTTTTGCCTCTAGTTTTTTTAGTAAAGATAGGTATAGGTAAAGAGCTTTTTTACCCCTGTCTTCAATTTCAACCCTTTAATTTAATAGCACCCCACGGTTTTTTCATTTTTAATGACCCTTCGAACAAGTCATATGATGAAAATCCTCGAACGTCTTATTTCCTTCCTTTTTTGCAAAAAATGAGAAGTAAACGCAACGAAAATCGAAAAATTGGCTAAGTTTGAGTATATCAGTAAATTTTCATCCAAAAATACTTTACAACCTCTTGATTCGAAGGAAATTTTATCTACTTTTTTTTCTACGAAGGAATGCCTATACCTATCTTTACTCAAAAAAAAACTAGAGGCAAAAAAAGTAAAAAAGTCTATCACATTTGGTTTCTCTGAAACGTTTAATATGCCACTTATCGTGAGGAACACTGTATAAAGCAATCTGAGTACTACATTACCACTTATGTAAAGGACAAAGTGAATTCTTTCTTTTACACACCTTTATTTTAGTGACGTCTGTGTCCTTCAACGTTTAAAATTAAAAATGAGCTACCAAATACGACTTCATACTCTCGAAAACAGTGTAAAGCTTGAATTAATCTTAGACTCCTGTAACTATGGGTACGAATTAAATAAACAATACCTATGTACTTATCTGAAACAAATTTTGTTTCAAAAATGACTTCCAGTTTAAAATAATTAAGTAAAAGGAAAAACAATCTTCAAGTATTTTCTGGGAGAAGTTTTGTTGCTGTTTTTGCCCTCGTACAAACAGTAGAAGATTTATCTTCCTAGAACAACTTAAGGTCGTCCGCATAGAGTAAGTAATTGACATCGAGCGATTCAGTTAAGTCATTGATAAAGATAACAAACAGCAGGGGCCCCAGGATTAACCCTTGCGGAACCCCTGAAGATTGATGGGATATACATGATTGTCAGCTACGCTTCTGTACAAACTGGTATCTATTACTAAAATAAGAATTAAACAAAGTTAACAGAGCAGAGGAGAAATCGTAAGATTCCATTTTCTTTAGAAACATCGGTAAATATAACATCAACCTGATCATAAATCCATATTAATTTTTCAACATGAAAATAAAGTAGATTGTGTAGATTATTTCAAGGAAGTTTCTTATAACAGCTATGAAATACTTTTACAACTTGCCAGAATTTTTAGCGATGTCGCAGCCATTTTATTTTGCTTAGTGGGCTAACTTAAAGTACCAAAGGTAGTACGTAAGTACAGAACGTGGAGAAAGAAAGCGCATTTGCAAATTAATTTTATGGTATATTTACAAAACAAATAGCAGTCGTACAATAAATAAATAAATATTAACAATATATCACAGATCAATAGAAATGATTAATTTCCTCCTCATATATTTTTACGCGCATCCACATCGAGTGTGATTCACAGCAGTCACCTCGAAGTACTTTATAGTGTCGCCCGTTATGAGGAAGGTCAGCGTCACATCGTCTGTGTCTACTGGCATGCATTTCTGGTAAGGGTTTTGGCAACAGCCTGCCGAATAACATCTGTGTAACATCGTCACAGTTGGACTGATCTGAAAGGAGAAATAAAATTAATTGTCGTTCCTAGGATAGGTTAAAATTGCCCCCCAAAAAATCTTTGCTTCGACTGTGCTACTGATAATTTTTTAACAAGCGTTATAAAAGTAATTCTATCAGGAATGTCACCGATTTTGCCGCAGTTCGATTGAAGAAACTACTGTCGTTGAACCTAACCTTGATAACAGGTTTTTACAATATTTGCATAGGTCAGGTAATATAAAACGAGTTTAGGTGACGAAGAAGATCAGTATAGTGAAATAAGTACACATTTTCAACGATGTTTTGAATAGATTTAGTACGCAATTAGATCTGTCATGTTTTTACGGCAGGTGAGAGGTGAAATAAACTTTGTTTTAATCTGCCCAGACCCTGCATCTGATAAGTTAAATTAAAATGAACCAAAAAGTATTAAAAGAAGCTGTATATTCACTTAAAAAAAAGGAACTTACTTTCTCTATACATCCATTAGTTTCCTCTTTTAAGACATCTTCCCCAATGACCTCTTCGAGCTCTACCACCCTGGGCTGGGGGTCACGGCAAGGATAGTCTTTCACCAGAGCCTCGTGCTCTCTGTAAGCGAGTAAGAGATCAGCGCGCACCGCGACGCTTAAGGACAACAGCAAGGCCACTCTGATGTAGTGCATCGTTCTCCTAGCTTCAACTGTTAAGTTAACAAACGCACAACGTCGGATGGTTTGACCGGTTCACGAAACAGCGCCTACTTATATATCTAGTCACCTACCGCAACTTATATGATTAATAAAAAGCTACGGGGAACGCGACTGATGTCAACTGATGGGGAAACAATCGGGAAAATGTGCTGGTTGTTGTAGGTTGCGCCTTGTTGTGGGGCTTCCCTCCACCCACGTTTTTTGTCGGTTTACCACGTTTTAGCGCTTTATTTTAAGCTTGAAGTTGTTTAACCTTTTACAATTACTAATCAAAACCCAGTTAATTAGACTAATAAAGATTTAATTGTTCCAGTGTGAACAAGAACGTAAAAATTACGTTTATTTGTGCCTTAAGACGAATAACCATTTATTTAGTAATGATTTTCAATAAACTCCAATATTTGGGGTCAGTGAGGTACAAGATCCACTTTATTGCCAAGTGCCACATCATTTTTTCGCCGATCAATTTTAATTTTATCATAATAACAAACAAAGCTATTTATTTATACAGGGATGGCCAGAAGTACGGAATAAAATTCATATCTTTTGAATGAGTTAATTTTTTTTAAATCGCCGAAACACGTTAACTGATTTTGATTTTTTCCCATCTTTCGGTTATATAATAATTAATTTTTCTTCAACCCCCTAGCTACCCCTACTTTTTTTTTCAAATGGAAACATAAGGCATGAGGGGGCTCGTTGAAAAGCTTATAGAAAACCGAATCCAGCCATACCAAATAAACAAGTTTTATTTTTTCAATAACAAGTTTTTTTTCATTTAGAAATTGAAACAACTAGATAATTTACAAAAATAAACTCAATGTCGCAAATGCTGAAAATGTCCTCCATTCACTATTTGGCATTCTCCAAGACGATAGTAAAAGCTGTCCACAGCATTCTGAATGACTTCAGCTGGTAAATTATGCATCTCCGCCCTAATCTTGTTCTTTAAATTCTCAATATTATCCGGTCTGTCCTGGTAGACTCTTTCTTTCAAATATCCCCAAAGAAAATAATCCAGGGGTGTTAAGTCGGGGGATCTTGGCGGCCATTCAACTGTACCCCGTCTACCAATCCAGCGATTTGGAAACATTTCATCTAAGTATCTTCGAACATCAATACCAAAATGTGGGGGAGCGCCATCTTGTTGGAACCAAATTCTTTCATTCGGTATATCTGGATCAATTTCATGAGGGAAAATCACAGCTAGAGCAGGTATCAGGTCAAATGTTAGGAAATCCAGGTAGCGTGCGGCAGTAAGATTTTCTTCAAAAAAGAATGGGCCCAAGATTCTGTTGTTGATGATACCTGCCCATACATTAACTTTTTGTGGATGCTGCGTATGCGATTCGCATGTCCAGTGTGGATTTTCCTGGGACCAAAAGCGATAGTTGTGCCTGTTAACCACTCCATTTAAATAAAACGTAGCTTCATCCGAAAAAAGTACGTCTCGTTGAAAACCATTATTGTCGTCACACCGTCTCATCATTTCCTCACAAAATTGTAATCGCCTATCATAATCGTCTTCCAAAAGCTCTTGGACAAGACATACCTTATAGGGGTGGTATTTCTCTTGTTTCAGAAACATTCGAATTGCAGTTCGAGAAGCATCGTGATTGCGGGCCAATGAAACAGTTGAAGTATGAGGATTTTCAACAAGTTCTAATGCAATGTGTGTTTTCTTTTCTTCATTCAAAGCACGTGCCCGTCCAGTTTTGGTCAAAGTCTGTACTGTACCGTGTTCCTCAAATTTGTGAAATATTTTACTAACTGTCCCTTGCGAGATTTGGTTTTCGGGATATTTCGTATTAAATAAATCGCGCACTTCAGCCTGACTTCTTATTTTGTCTCCACATCCAAGCAATATCAAGATTTCGATGCGTTGCCTTTCCGACAATACAATTGCAATTCAGTAAATAACTTGATTTTGACACAATAGTAACGTTTCAAACTCCAATTTACGATAATAATAATATCTCTACTCCCCATTCTAACTACAAGAATTAGCTCAGAAGTCAGAGACTTGTGCGGGAGAGGAGGCGGCATATTATTATTACGCAGGCCGCATTTGCGCCCAGGAACGACTTATGTTGGTAGGCCCTAACCACCATTCAGTGCAGGAATGAGGGAAACCTGGAAAACCTCATTAATTAGGGGGTTGGTCAAATGCCAACCGGTGTCAATCTCTCACATTGACCCAAACCAACATTCTTCCACCCTACAATACCTGCACAGAGGGTGCCAATCCTCCGTACAAGCATAGCTAATCTACGGTCTCCCGGGCGCGGAATTCGAAACCCGGGCAGATCGACACATCGATTTGAGTACTGACGCCTTAAACCGTGCGGCTATCGACCGTGTAAAACAACTGAAGTGAAAAATTGACCAGAAAGCCTGGCTAGTAAGTGGTACCAAAAAAACGCAACTCAAAATATATATCTTTTTTGCGTTAGCAGTGATAGGTAGTTTCAAATTCTCTATTTTATTCTGTGCAAATTCATGGAGGATAACACTGAAGATAATTAAATTTTATTTCACTTGTTAAGTAGGTGTTTTATACAACCCTAAAAACCTTGCTATTGAAAAAATAAAACTTGTTTGTTTGGTATGGCTGGATTCGGTTTTCTATAAGCTTTTCAACGAGCCCCTTAATGCCTTATGTTTCCATTTGAAAAAAAAGTAGGGGTAGCTGGAGGTTAGGGGGTTGATAAAAAATTAATTATTATATAACCGAAAGATGGGAAAAAATCAAAATCAGTTAACGTGTTTCGGCGTTTTAAAATAAAATTAACTCATTCAAAAGATATGAATTTTATTCCGTACTTCTGGCCATACCTGTATACTTCGTTCATGAATAATAATAATTGCATCAGGAAGTCTGTGGTTACTATGAGACGAGCGTTATTAAGTAAATAACTTAGGTACACAGTAATCAATTGCCATATTGTTCCTATTTAAATCCATAAAAACAACTATTTATTATTTGCGATGGAAGAATTCCCATAAACTTCACAGGAAAGTATTGAGTCAGCAAAGTAAATACAGTGTAATTTATTTCCAAAAAAGTCGAAGAAAATATATCAGCAAACAAACAAAACATTTATTGATTACCGGGCTGATTTCGGTCTTTTTCAGAAAATGTAAATATTTGTATATTTTTCTGAATTAAGCAAAAGTATGAAATCTTCTTCATTATGGTCAATATGTGCGATGTTCATAGCTACTTTGAATGACTACAACAACATGGATATTGGAAAGTATCTAAAATTAAAAGCATTCTTGAACAGGCTGTTCTAATTTCTCTATAAATGTTTGCAATAAATAAAATTACTTTCTTAAAGAACTAGTTTTAATTTTTAATTTAGAAACAGTAAAAATGATTCAAATGCTTAACAGTAGATGTGACACTTTAGTGCCTGTCACTAAAACTACGCCTTTAATATCGATCGGCGAAAAATGCTTTTTTTTTATCCATTTTTCTGTGCTGAATCCAGTGGAATTAAATTTTAGTTTATCTTTTTACAAAACATATGCTTTAAATATGTATAAATTAATTATTACTTACTTACGTATTACATCTCTATCAATTCTATCATTCAAATAAAAAATTAAAATAATAGACCACAATTGCCATATGTATGACGACGAATAGTTATTACGTTCCACACGTAGATATATAAAAATGTTAGTAGCAACCACAGAAACCATAATATGCGCGCTATTATCTTGACAAAGCTGTGACTTTCCTATTAAAAATTTCGAGCTTTGTCTTACGATATTTCGTTGTAAACTTGAACGTATTCCTAAAAATAAATACGAATTTATAGGAAAGGCAACGTTTGACGTGATGTTCTGAATATTTTTTTTATCAAACTGTTGAAGTAATCAGTTTAATTTGTTTTAGATGATGTTTGCTAGCAATCGAGAAAACAATCGATCATTAATTACGTAACTACAAGTGTGACTTTCTTGAGAATTTGATGAGGATTTTTTCACTGTATCTTTTAATTTTTTAAATAATAAACTTTATTTTCCGTAAATCATGATGGGGAGGGATAGGAGCGTTTTATAGAGGGTACCTTGATGTTTTCAAAACCCTACTTACCACCTTGGTCAATGATTAAAATGTTTATCTGCTCCCACTGTCGTAAATAGATTATTATTAATACATTGTTTCTAAGGAGGTAAGTGGATTTTACCGTAGAAGTGAAACTTACCTCCCTAGGAAGAAAACGACTTCGAGTTATAAATGCATATTTTATGAACAAATTAATAGAAATATTTGATGACCATTACATTTTATTAATTATTATGAATGAATATTTATAGTAATTGAACAGTTATTACATTTAGCAACATTTATAAAATCTGGATAATTATTCCCCTCGCGTTTACTAATCGTCACATTTTTCTCAAAATGATTTGACCGCTCCATTTCAGTCACCGGAGGCTCAATATTATCTGTCTGATCCATTAAAACAGCATGATGCGACGTACTACTAGAATTTGGAGTTGAAGTGTCATTGCAAAGAATCCAGTTGGCTATCTCATTTTTATTACTTAAACTGTCAGCAACATAACTTTCTGCAATTGTGGCTGATTTCCACCCACCATGTTTCTTGATTGCTAATACATCAACTCCAGTATTAGCCAGTAACGTTGCCGATGTTCTTCGGAATGTGTATGTTTTAGGTTTCAGGATGTTCTAGTTTCAAGAACTGTGCAATCTTATTAGGAATCATGGATTCTTGCCGACTGGTTGGTTGTAACATCTACCTGCTTGATAACGCATAAAAAGCTTGAAATTTCAGTTTTAATTTCCAATCTAATTTTGACCTCAAACGAGAAGTAATTGTAAACGTACGTGATATACCATTTTTAGAACCTGGAATTGCAACTACAATAATCTCATCGAAATTTTTGAAATTGACGTTTGTCAAAGTAAGTTTGCATAACTCATCAGAACGGCATGCTCCTGCAATGACTAAGACCGTCACTACCTTCATTAGTAAATATGTGTTGTCGGGTCTGAACGAGAAAGTCGTTGACTTGTTCTCTTGTAAAAACGTTTGACTTTTGAGGTGTATAGGCCGCTATTTTTACGTTTCAAAAATGCTCTCAGCTTGAGGTATTTTGATACATCCACGTTCTCCTCTATGAAAATAGTTGACTTAATCATTGACCAACTCGCAGGTGACCTTAAAGTTCTTGACTTCCCCATGAAATATGCTAGCAGTGAGATTTCAGAAACACCAGTATTTTTGTTCTGGCACCATTCTTTGAAATTTCTATATGCTGGTTCGTAGCACACTTTCGACTTCTCGGGCAATAAAAATTCACAGGCAGCATTTGCTGTACTTTCTATTTGAAAATCACTCATTTATAAATAATCATTCCGAACCAGCAAAATTGCAAGTTTTATGTAGCTTTGTTTATAATTACTTTAGAAACGACAAAATCCAAACAACCAATGCGACTTTGCAAGATTTCGAATAATGTCAAAATGAATTGATTAAGAAATATCAAAAAATAAAACCTAATCTTTATTTCGTGAACCATAAAGAACTGTGGGAGCAGATAAAATGTTATACACCACGCAGCAGTTAAGTATAATTTACCAGTCTCGGACTCTATTACCAGCCCTCGCTTCGCTCGGGCGCAAAATCGTCCTCGTAACAAAAGTTGTGTTAGTTTAACAAAAATAAAACTGTCAATTTTGATCAAACAAATATGATGAAATTCAGATAGTTACGCTGCATTAGTTGAACTTCTTTTAAGTCTGTTGGAGCTTGGAGTCAAAGATGGTGTGAGGAAAAAAAAAAGCGTATAATAATAATAATAATTTATAACGAATAAATACTTAACAACCATGGAAAAAATAAATAATAATACTATTATATCACAGATTATAGATTACAGGAAATAGTTAAGAGATAACACGTCCATTTTTTATACGGTGGTACAGGCACAGCGAGTGTGGTTAACGGCGTCTACTTCTAAATAATCCAGGGTTGAGCTTGTAATAAGGAATGTCAATTTTACATCCTCTTTTTTCGATGGCATGCATTTTTCCCGTGGAATTTGGCAACAGCCTGAGGAGATGCACCTGTGAAGCACCGTCGTTGCCGGTTTAATCTGAAAAAAATCGTAATTTGAGTCATATTAAAGCACAGCAAATGTTTTATAACTTCATTTTTGTATGAGATGTACCACAAAGATGACTAAGTGAGGTTGTTACCAGTTACGAGGAAAAATATATATTTATCGCATTTGCACGCACTTATAGTCCAATATTGTGTTAAAAAACCAAGGTCATACTAAATATCACAAACAACAGTAGAACCAGTTAAAGTCAAGTTATTTTTTTCCAAATTCTTCAAAATATTTAAAAATAGAAGGCATTGGAAAGAGGAGACGGTTGAGATTTATATAGATTTGTTTCTATTAGAAAAGGAGTTTTTACTGCAACGTACAGGGTGTCCGGAAATTATAAGCAAAAGGTTTCGAGGGTAATCTACTTATAAAAATAACTTTTTGCAGCAATTATTTACACCAACGTTTTTTAATAAATTTCTTTTCAAATTTGAATCACTTGCACAATGATTACAAAATTAGGAAAATAATTCTGAATCCTAAATGATCTGCAAAATGCTAAGTGGATAAAAGCATTTTTATAGCAATATTGGCACAAAATTAAATAATTTAATAGTAAAACTTATTAAAAAATTTTATGAAAATATCCTTTTGTTCTTAGTCTATAAATTTTAACCGTTTTCGAGAAGAAAATCATTTAATGCGTCATGTTTTGTGTTCAAATCTTGGTAAATCAATATTGTTATTTTAAAATTACACAACTTTTATTATTAGTTAATCAATATAATTGAAGATGATTTTGTAGATATTGGTAATTAGAATTGTACAAAATATTGTTTTGTTATATTAGTCATATAGTCAGGGGGGGTTTCAATTGCCTCCTTCATTTAGATGGAGTTACCCAAGTGTTTTTTTGTGTATTTTGAGCTGCAGAACACGAATTTTTTGGGTAGAAGTTTGCCCGGATGCCGATAAGTTTTTTATTAACAAAAAACTTGCAAAATACTGAGAACTTAGTTTTTGGCAAAATAAAAAGTATTTATTTTCTTGTTCTTTGACCCATTTTAAGACGAGAATGTCTCCTGCAATTTTTTTTAAACGCATAGTTATCGAGATAAACGACGTTAAAAACTCGAAAAATGCGAATTTTGCGATTTTCAATTGTTAATAACTTTTAATTGAATAGGTATTTTGTAATTCTGCTGACGGCGTTTGAAAGTTCACTAAGTTAAATACTACAAATTATGAGTAATTGCAGTGTGAAAATTTGTTTTTTTCCACTGTTATTTGAAGCTATAAACAAATAATGTAATAAGAGAGCGGTTGCCTTCTTACAGGCGTTTAATACACGATCTTGACGCGTACTCTTCATTTCTAGACCAAAGAAACGATGAAAACTGAACGAAACTTTAACAATTTAATGAAAATTTGCAATTAATGCAAAAATATTACAATATGTTCAAATCCTGCTTCTGTCATATTGCCAAATAGATACTTTTTGAACTGTTTTTATAGCTAAAGTTGATGTTATAGATTTAGAGCAACAGATTTTTAAATTTTATTGTTTAATTTTTCGAAAAAATTACATAAAAGGTTATGACGAATTTTTTATTCAACAAATGATGATTTTTTAAATAGGTGTCTTGTCACTAATAATAAATTTAAATAAAATCGCTTCACTGAAAAAGGTCATGATAAAATATTAGTTGAAAAAATAATTAAAAATTAAATTACATAAATTAAAAATGTGTTAAAAGTAACTTTTCCACGATTTTATGAGTAGTTTCTGGAAACTGGAAACCGCTAATTTATTTTGAAACATCTTGCTATTGAATTTTTGACGATAATTACAGAATCTTACATCCGCAATATCACTGTATGATATCATAGCAGGATCGAAGCAATAACTAGGTACCTACTGACGAAGTTATAGTGTTTAACTTTAAAACTAGTTGTTAATTGTAATATTTCCATAAGGCAATCAACTACAAAACTAGTTTCGATGATGAAGAAAAAGTCTTGGAAAGATATAATGTAGAGACGCCAGCAAAATAATTTGAATAATATAATGTCCCCGATAGTACCTACGATTCTACTTTTATTTTAATACATTTAGCCTATGGAGATATTGTATTTAATTCGCATTAAAGAAAATTGAATCTATTTAAACAAGGTGCTGAGAGATAAGTACTTTTCAACGAGTTCTATTTTAAGAAAATTTAATCAGCAGCTGCTGATATAACACGCAAAATATTAGTATTATTGTATATAAGTAAATTTTATTTCTCTCGCGGACAATAATTTATCAAAAAACAAAATAGGATCTTACCCAATGCAGGTTACCCCTCGTTTTCTCCTGCAAGACGTCCACTCCTATAACCTGTTCCAATTCGAACACCCTCGGCTGTGGGGTGCTGCAGGGATACTGTCTCAGCAAGGCTTCGTGTCGTCTGTAGGCCTCGAGTTGCTCGTCAGAGCGGACGGAAACGAATAAGGACAATATCAAAGCTGTTCTGATGTAGCGCGCCATCTTCCGTCCTTCCAACTTTACGGTTGACTATGGTACGACGCGAGAGAACGATTTGATCGCGCCTGGGATCATCGCCTTCCTTATATCGGCTCACCTACTGCAACGTCATGATTAATATGGTACGAAGAATGCGTTGATGTCAATCGATGGGGAAACAAGTGGAAAAATTTGTTGTGCTTGTTGTCGCAAGATGTCCATTTCCACGGGGTTTCCCTGCACCTATAATTTAGGGTTGGTTCTTCACCTTTTTGGTGTTACATTTTGTTGCACATTATTAAGCCGTCGCAAACTGTAATAGAAGCGCCCAAAGCTGTCATTGGATAAGTTGTTTATAGTTATTTATGGTACTAGTGTGTTACGGTATATATAAGTCACGCTGGGAAATGTTTAGCCCTCGAGGCCGTAGGCGTATGACGTAACACACGAGTGCCATGCAAAATTTTATCCAAAACTTTCATAGAATTTCGTTTTAATAATAAATAAAAGTAATTTGTATTTTTTTAAATATTACGAAGGATGCGATTGTCAACCTAAATTGTGTCTGTAGCTAAAGGTTGCCAGTAAACAAACAATATTTTTTGAGTTGAAATCCTAAAATCAAGACTGAAAAATTGGAAAATGTGGAAATTCCATCTGAAATTTTAAAAAAGCTAATGCGGCTACTGCAGGCATCATTCCGGAAAAATCAAAATCTATATCAACAAAGAACTGAAGGAATTTCAGGATTTTAAAATCAAAGAAGGGGCGAAAGCCGTAAATGAAGATGCCTTGCTGCCTTATTTTTTCAATTTAAGTGAGAAATTAGCTCCATTCACATTGTGGACTAAATATTCCATGTTGAAGTCAACTTTGAGAGTTTACAAGAACATTGAAATTTCTAAATTCGGAAGACTAGTGCATTTCTAAAGTCTAAGCACAAACATTTTCAACCAAAAAATTCCAAGGTCTTAGAAAGAGAACAAATCGAACAATTTTTGCGTGAAGCACTAGACAAAGATCATCATATGAATAAGGTAGGTTCTACTGAATAGTTTAACTGAGTTATATTCATGTTGTTTTTAGGTGACGTTGATATTAGGAGTTTTTGGCGCTTGTCGTTGCGAGGAATTGACCCTAGACAATATAGAGGACAAAGGGCAGTATATCCACATCATGATTTAAATACTAAAACGAACAAACCAAAAAGATTCGCTGTGTAAAATGAAGGATTTTGTGTTAATCCAATTGAATTAATTAGAAAATATTCTAATATCTAACTCAAAATGTGCAGTATAAAAGGTTCTTTTGCAGTTTTCAAACGGGAAAATGCACACGTCAGTGTGTTGGTATTAATGACCTATCAAAAATCCTAATGTTGTTCCGCGATTTTTGGCCTTGACAGATTCTAATTTATATACAGGGCATGGCTTGCGTCGCGCATTTGCAACTCTCTTGACCAATGCTGGAGAGGATATTATAACACCCAAACGCCACGGTGGATGAAAATCATCTACCGTGGCAGAAGGTTATATAGAAGAGTCAATTTCCAGCAAAATTGATATTGTTAAAAAGATACAAGGGGTGCAGACTCCTGAAGCAAGCATAAGCAAAGGGGCAATCTGTTCTATAAGTTTACCACAATCACTAAATGATTCCAATAATCCTTTGGCTTCAAATTACGGCTTTACCATAAATGTTAATGGTAATATTAATAAGTAGGTAGATTGTAAGTTTGTAGCATTTTAGGTTATTTGTTGATTTATTCTTATTACTGTTTCAAATTGCTTTTCTAAATTTTAATACAGCGTGGTAAAATGCAGATTATGTACTAATATATGAGTGCATAAAAATTAAAAGATAAAAAAATATTAAATTTTTAGGTAATTTTCAAAAGACCGTAACTTGGCGAAAATTAGTCGCACAGCAATAAAGTAAAAGCAGACTGAAGTTTGAAGTTTGTAATTTCGAGATCTGACAGTAAAAAATTTTTATTATTCACCACCTTTAAGAAATCATAGAAAATCCAGTGAAAAAAAAAATCAGAAATTTTTGCTTCCCTTTCAGATCTACAGGATTCAAAAAAAAATTTTGATACTCCCACCAGTCATGTCTTTTAGTTTGATTCATCTTCTTTAATTTAAGCTGTTCAAGAGCTTTGTACGATGATTTGTCGCTGAGTTGTGGAGGGGGGATATTTTGTCTAATCCCCTGTATTTGATGTAAACTATTTCAGTAAATCTATCTCAGCGTTGTTACTGAGGAATAAAAACATAATTAAAAAAAGCATCAAAATATATCAGCCCTTAGCAAGAAAATCACCTTCGAAAAGTGTACATATTTTAACTGGTTCACGATCAGTTACGTCGTTGAGAACAATCGCGCTTTCTGCGGCTATTAATAGAATTCATGCAACTGAACAATCTGTAACATAGAAATGAGACATTTTGATAAATATTTGTAACAAATAAACAACTCGTTCACCTAAAGATTAGATATTGCTATTTTGTAACACAACGTGGATGAATGACTTGATTTAGTTGCTGCACAGAAACCTTAATTGATTTCAGAGGTGTGTGCAACCGCTACATCTTTACGCAAGAACGTTGATCTTCGATTCTTTTATCGGTCGCGGACAGAAAAAAAATCAGTGACCCTATTAGAGCGGTCCTTGATAAAATTCTGTTGGCTCTGCTCTTGAAAATATGTCCCTTGGATGTTTAGGTAATGTGTAAAATACTTTGAAGAGGCAGCAAGTAGTTGAGATTGAAAGCGATTACCATGTCTAGCCAAATTAGAATAACCTGGAGTTGATATTTCATTATGAAATCACACCGGCAATCAAAAAAGAAAATGTATTTCGACGTCCCGAATCCCAATTTGAAGTCTGTTTACGTCAAACACCCCTAAATTTTTGAGTAATTGGCAAAAAATATTGAAAAATCGACGAAAATTACTTTAATGAGTGGGTTTTAAGAAACACTAAAAAAATTTCACTCAAATTTCACTCAATTTTACTCAATAATGTATCAATTTCTGCCCACATCCGATTGAGTGAAATTTTCACTCTATTGGTATGAGTATAACTAAGTGAAACTATTGCATAAGAAATGAGTGAGTTTTACTCAAATCCGAGTTATTTCTATCAATCGAGTGACTTTTGACTCTATTCTGAGTGTATAAAACCAATTTAGAGTTGATTTTTTTTCTAATATGATTTAAATGTAACGATTATTGAGTCATTTTTTACTCAGACTTGGTTTTTAATTAACTAAATATTGAGGGCAAAAATAAATCACTCATATATGATGAATACTGATAATAATACTAATAATGAATGATAACTTTTTTGTTATTTATTAAATTTGTATAATTTTTGGGTAAAAGCCATGTGATTTGAAATTAGGTCTACGAATGTGTACAATTTACTTAATAAATGCTTCCATATTATTAACGTTTCGAGTGGTTTTGCACCACTTTATATTTTCTTTTAATAATTTTAATTTAAATATCATTGTCATAAACTACTAAACAGTCATGGTGGTTTCAACACAGATTTGTTTTAAAGACAATAATTTTGTTCTCGATTGGTTCACTGATCGGATAAATAAATTGCCATAACCTATATTGTACGTTACAAATATGTAGTTATAGATAACAATTTAATAACAGGGGCGGACTTCAGGGGGCGGTAACTCTGAATGAGGGGGCCACTTGGCAAAAGTAAAAAATACGGGTCCCCTAAATTTATCCTAAGAATCTGTGACCAAATTTTGTTGCATGAATTTCGGGACACCCTGTATATAGAAAAAACTATTGATTTTAGAGAAAAGTGTCCAACAGACGAAGTATGCGCAATAAAAGATTTACAAAATGCCACCTGATAGATTAAAATAGAATAAATTGTTTAAAAGTTATTGCAAGAAAACATAAAAAACGTGGAAAAACAGCATTTTTTTAATTATCCATAACTTGGCTGTTATTTGTTGGAATTTTATAAATCTGCGTTGTATAAGTTATGAGTTTTATTGTTATTCAAAACTGTGCTAAAGGTGGGCCCAATAGTTTTTGCAAAATTTTATTTTTTATCCCGTCAAGGACAAAAATGCATAACTTTAACCTTCTGTCTCTACGAAAGTTATTAACAAAAAAGGAGCTATGTGAGATTTGGGCTTGTGAAATAGTTTGAACTCGGTTTTAATTTATGAATTTTTTGTGCGATCTATTGAAATTTTTGTAGTAACATGGGATAATATAATATCTGCATGTAAGAGAAAAGTTTTGGAAAGTACTACACCGACTGGTTATTGAACTGCATCGTACATGGGTGGACGTCCGAACACATTCTACGCTGGCTCCGTAAGGACCCGGTAGCGAGATCCTCGTCGGGATCGGAAAATTGACACTCTGGAAAAACTCTTTTCTTTGAATTATGCCTGCAATTAATCGTTTTGTATGTTATTCCTCTTTAAAATTATAAATGTATTTTGCTAAAGACAACTCCCCTATATCAAATGATTTCCAATTATTAAAAGTATGAAAATCGAAACAGTCTTGAATTTTTTTAATAGCAGCTTTTGACAGGACTAAATGAATACTCCCACAAGAATTTAAGTATACGGGGTGGTTAAAAAAATGCAGTAGGCAGTAAATCACAAAAAGTCGTTCTGAAGACGTAGAAAGTAAAACACTGTGTCAAAATGCTGGATGGTATATTAAAAACATAATAAATTAAATAAATAACACAATAAATAATAACCCTAATATCACAGGTTGGTATTTACTAATACGTCGTAGATAATTAGATCCCTCCACCGTTACTTAACGTTGTCGTTGAGCATCATGCAAGCGCATTGGGTATGGTTCCTCTCTTTAATTTTGACGTAATCTAGTTTCCCCACGGACGTAATAACACGGAATGTCAGGGTCACCTCTTCCGTGGCATTGTTCGTGCACCTTTCGTGGGGGTTGTTGCAGCATCCAATAGACTCGCATCTATGCAGGACTGTCACAGCCGGGCTTATCTGGAAATGGAATATAATGGTTAGCGGTTCTAAACACAGCATAAACCAATAAAAATTAATTTTGTTGTCGGCGCTTTGATACTTTTCAATGGCTTTCGGTGTCGTTGGATGGAAGGCGACGAACAGGACACTAATAAGATTTTTTTATTTGTGCAAAAGCATATCAGAAAAGATAATGTTATTAAATAATTAATTAATAATGATTAAGTGACTTAATTACTTTAATTTAAATATTTTGAGATAATTTATTTTATTAAGAATACTTTATAGAGTTAAGTTACACAATGTTGAATAAACCTACGTACAATGAAAACTGCATAGGTATTGGTGGTGCAAAACAGATACATTCATAGAAAACTCATCTTTTGGAGATTCTACTTAATTCGTTTTCCGACTTAAAAAAGTATGTTATATAAAAACCACAAGTTATTTCAGCAAAATTAAATAACCCTTTTCTTGAAAACTTAAAAATTCAACATTTTGCCAATTTGTGAACTCTAAAAATTGAGCGTTTATCTTAACACATACATTGTATTAAACTGATTTACACTGATGTCACATTGTAATATTGCCTAAACGATTTTTTTTTAATTGAATCACCGTAGATGCCTTGAAAACAACTTTTTTTTAAATTACTATATTTAATAAAACGAAGTATTGATAATTCTGACCTTGATCATTTAATAATTACAATTTTAAGAAGATAATTCACATAAAACAAAATATGTATAAAATAACCAGACAGAAAACTGACCACAAAATTTTGTTTTGAACACTTGGCAAATTATTTCGTCTAGGAAAATTAGACATAAAAAGGCGGAATAAGCGAACTTTTTTTACTCTGAGATTTTCCAAGAATTGTCTCCGCAATTTGCTTTTATCTAATTCACTTTTTTTTTAAATGAATTGACCATTATTTTGGCTCCAAAATATTAATTTTCATATAATCTGTACTTCATTTTAAAAACAAACTGAAAAACTATTGGGAAGATCGAAATTTAGGGGTAGTTCATGTAAAAATTATCGGCTAAAGATAAAAATGTCAAAACGTGTGTCATCAACTGTGCGTTAAGAATAATGTGCAAACGGTTTCTTTCTGAAAAGCAGTGTCGCCGATACAGGTAATTAAAGGGGTACAGTCGATGAAAAAATATGTCTTCAAAATTTATTACATTTTTAAACATTACAAAAAAAGATATATTTGTATACCGAAATTCGGTAGCATGTACCATTTTTTTGCTCATATAAAGCGGCACAAGTAGGTACATTAACAAAATATTAAATTGAAAGAGGTCTTTACCATTGAATGAGTTGAAGCTACCAACAGTATTTGCATTTAAGACTATAATTTTAATTTGTTACGTATCACATGAAACAGTTAAATTGTAAAACATTTTATTAACTAAAAAAAGAAATTTAAATTTACTTTAAGTTTCAGTTTGTTGTAAATTAACATTTAAAAAAGTAAATCAAAATAAACAGATTATGGTAATTAATTATCTATTATTAACTAATTTTAGATTTTGTAAACTACTACACTACCATTACTAAAATAAACAATTGTTGAATGGACTGAAATATTGATGGACATGAATGCTTCAAAAGAGTGATAGAAACAGAAAAATATTAGGAAACAGACTCGAAGACATACAGAACAAAACATCTGCACAATTAAATAAATATGCAAACTCGAAATACTACAGTAGATACTGAAATTCTTCCCCCCATTTCCTTCTATGCAACTTTATTTTTCTCTAAAATGGTATATGCTACCGAATTTCGAAAAGTATACCTTTTTTGCAGTATGCTTTAGAGTTTACAGAACCGTTTAGAAATGTAATAAATTTTGACTTTTAACATATTTTTTTTCTATTGTTCCCCTTCAGTTACCTGTATCGGCGACACTGCTTTTCAGAAAGAAACCGTTTGCACATTATTTTTAACGCACAGTTGATGTTTACTAGTGTATACATTTTGATATTTTTATCTTTAACCGATTTAAAGATAAATAATTAAGGAAAACCATTTAGAAAGTAACAATTTCAACACACTGCATCTCGTCTAAGAAAAAAAACTTTACATGAACTACCCCTATTATTTTTCCATGAGGAACTTGCACACAAGTTTTTTGAAACATGAACGGAACACCCTGCATAAGAAAATTTCAGAGTAAAAAGTTCGCTCATTTTTTCCTTGTGTTCCTGTACTAAAAATGCTATTTTACATTTACTAGAATGCAAGGCAAAAGAAACACTGTCTCGACATATTTTGCAAGATTGTGCCACAATGAAAAAAATGTACTGAAAATGCAACTTACATTTTCTCTCCCATCTCTACGAACCGACTCCATCAGTTCGTTGTTATTCATCAGTTCCTCCAGTTCGAAAACCCTCGGCTGAGGCTGCTTGCAGGGAAATTTACTCAGCAGGCCGTAGTTCATCCGGTACGCCACTAGGTCTTTATTGGGACGCCCTGAGACCCAGACGGTTAGCGTGAGAATCACTATCGCCGCGATAAGTTGCATGGTGTTGTTAAACTTGTTACGAGCAAAGGACGATTGTACGGTAATGGACTGCAGCAGGCAGCGAGCGATTTGAATGGAATGAAGGCAGCTTGGTAGCTTGGACATTTATAGGAATCGCCGACCACCGCGTGGTGTGAGTAATGTTTCGGGGATCCCAACATGCGTAGCACAGGCAGAGAGGGAAGTTGGAAGAGAATCCGCCGGTGTTTCATGATTAAACGTGGACTATATTATATTATATGTGTCCGAAAAGTTACGACACTTGTTTTAGGATTATACAATCTGTTGCGTGTTCCAATCCAACAATTATCTATAAATTTTTCAAGCATTCGGACAGAGATACCGGTTTCCTTGCAGTAAATATTATTTGTATTACACTTGTCACAAAAATTAAGCGATAAAAATGCTACATTTTCAGGTGATTTTCAAAAGGCTGTAACTTGGCGAAAAATGGTCATAAAGCAATAAAAAAAAAATAAGCAAATTGAAGCTTAAAGATTCTAGTCTCAGGATCTGAAAGTTAAAAATTTTTATCGTTGGCCACCTTCAAGAAATCGTAAGAAATACAACAGAAAAACAAACTCAAAATTTTTGCTTCCCTTCAATACAGGTATCTGAGAGGGATTATTAAAAAAATAGTTTTAATAAAAGTTGTCTGGAATCATGTGGGCCAAGTAAAGAAAATATTTTTAGCTTTACAGGGTGTTGCTGTGAGCAAAACGCGTACGTTATTCAGACTAGGAAATACGAGGGTGGTCTGAAAAGTTTCCGACCTAACAAAGATACAAGACATTTTTTCAGATTTTTTTTTTTTTATTTTTCAATATAGTCTCCTTGTAATTCTACACACTTCTCCCAGCGATGCTTCCATCTCTGTAACCCGTCCAAATAGTACTCGGCGTTTTTCTCTGCAAAATAATTGTTCACGAAGGTGATTGCCTCTTCATTTGACGAAAATCTCTGTCCTCCGAGCGCAATTTTTAGATGAGGGAACAAAAAGAAGTCGCTTGAGGCTAGATCTGGTGAGTAAGGCGGATGGTCAAGCAGTTCAAACCGTAATTCGTGGATTTTCGCCATGGCAACCGCTGAGGTGTGAGACGGTGCGTTGTCTTGGTGAAACAGGATTTTCTTTTTCTGCAAATGTGGCCGTTTTTCCGCAAGTTCTGCCTTCAGCTTGTCAAGTAATGATGCGTAGTATGCTCCTGTAATGGTTTTTCCTTTTTGGAGATAATCGATTAAAATAACTTCATGACTATCCCAAAAAACAGTCACCATCACTTTCTCAGTCGAAAAAACAGTTTTTGCTTTTTTGGAGCCGGTTCCTCCACTGTTTGGACTGTATTTTTGTTTCGGGCGTATAATGGTTAATCCAAGTTTCATCTACAGTAATTAATCGGCGCCAAAACTCGGATTTATTGCGCCTAAAGTGCGCCAACAGAGCGTTGGAAATGTTCATTCGAACACGATTTTGGTCTAACGTGAGCAAACGCGGCATCCAACGCGCGGATAGCTTTCTCGTGTTTAAATGTTGATTTAATATGTGACAAACACGTTCTTTTGACATGTTCATAACCTCTGCTATCTCTCTCACTTTAATTCGGCGGTCGTCTAGCACCATTCGGTGAACTTTGGCGATGTTTTCGTCGGTAGTTGCAGTTTTTGGACGTCCCGAACGTTCATCGTCTCCCAAGCTCTTACGGCTATGTTTAAATTCAGCTGCCCAAAATTTCACTGTGGTAAATGATGATGCAGAGTTCCCATACACAGAATCCAACTCATCTTTGATTTGCGTAGGCGTATTGCCATTCAAAAACAAAAAAATTAATGACAGCTCGATACTACATTTTGTCCATTTTCATAAAAACACTCACATCAACTCACTCAAACGACTGTTACATAACAACTGCGCGTCCAAATTTGCTGAAACATTTGAGTAACTGTCAACAGATGAACAACGAAATTCACTAGCTTTTATTTACGAGTGCTGCCATCTTCATGTTGAAGTCGGAAACTTTTCAGACCATCCTCGTACTTAGACCTACATTTAATAATCTTACGAGTTGAAGAAAATTTTTTTTTCAAATGGAATGACCCATATTAACTGTCATGGGGGAATACATAGGATTTTACAAAAGCACAGCACATCCTTATCACATCCAATTATACCAAGAGTTACTAAAAGTTTCAGCGGAGACTGAAGTTTTGTCAGTGGGCACTTGAGATGTTAAATCAAGATGATGATTTTTGAAATGAATTACGCCAGACATGCTGATTGCTGACCAATGTTGAACAGTCTTTTAAAAACCGAATTCGTTTGTGTATTAATCAAAATGGGGGACACTTCGAGTAATTGATGTAAATCAGCGGTCTAAGTATTCTTCACCTTGTTGTGTTCCGAGTTTCAGTTTGTTTCGTTTTGCGTTTTGTTTTAGTTTTTAGTGGTTTACTTTTGTTTATCAAGTCACTTTTTAAACATGCCAGTAAATATTGACACTGTCAGTCCCAAGCCTGATAAAATGTGAGAGAAAAGTAGTTTTGCAACAGTTTCTTTAATATCTTTCGACTATTTCGAGCAAATTTCGTGAAATCTCGTATTCGCGGTTTTTTTTGGGATGAGAAATTCGAATTTATCGTCGATTTCGTTGGATCGTCTAGAGCAGCGGTCGGCAACTGGCGGACCGCGAAAGGTAAAATACTGGACCGCCAAAAATTTTTGGAAAGTATAATTACTTAAATTATTTTAAACATATTTTTCTATAGATAACAATTGATTTTTGAATACAAATATGCCTATCTATCATATTATTTTGTGAGTGCAAATTAAAACAAAAAATTAGTACCCAAGGAATGAGTTTTTTTTCTGGATCTCGTTAAAAATTTTCAAATGTATTCGGACTCCACCTAAAATTACTTGCCAACCTCTGGTCTAGAGGGTGCCACAAGCGACCATTAGAACGCATTTAAACTGCCAAAACTTTTTTGTGCCACGGTGTATTTCACTTTGGGCTGGAAAAATCTTTTCCCCCAACTTTTCTGCTTAAAAAAGGTATATATAGCTAACATTTCTAAAGCCAACCGTTTTCAACAAAAGGCATTTAAATTTGTAAATGCATTAAAAAATTAGTTTAAAAGTGATTTTATGTTTTTTTTGGTTTGATAATACAGCTCCATAAAAAGAAGTCTTGTGCAAATTACTAGAATATATGTATTTTGAAATGACTAGAATATTGAGCCGCTGAATTAATTCGAATCCGTTGTCAAAACTGCCCCAACAAATCGCCAGAATTTTCCAATCTGAAAAAAATTACTTAAAATCGTTAATATTCTCAAATTTTACAATGATAAGGCTACAAATAATGCAAAAATATGTTATTCACATGAATTTAGTGAAACCCATAGAGGTTTTTTAACTTGAAAATGTTTTTTTTTTTTCAAGAATCGATACTATTTATCATTAAAAAATGTCAAATATCGAAAAAAAAAAAATGATTCAAATACTATCCCAACTACCCCAAACTCTTGTATGTCAAAGGATCATTGATTTATGAGACAGGCATTGCGATTATATGCCCAAAAACAATTTTCTCCAAAACTAATGCATTATTTTGTAATATTTAAAATTATTACATAATCTCAAATCAATTTGCATCGGCAGCATTAGACACATGTGAATCACACGTGGCGTAACTTAAGTTAATTTCAATAAATTTTAGATGTTTTCGAAAAAAATAAAAGATTTTACTCTTCGTTTATTTAAGGTAGATTTTGGGGAGTTGAGTGTCACTTTTACACGTTACGAGCTTTTAATCCATCTAACAAAAACAAGAGTATTTTTCCTGATGCAATTCTAATGGTTGTCAAAGTATATTGGCAGCTATTAGGGTTCACATACCTAGGCAAGTCTAAACTGCGTGTGGCTTGAATGTAATGCGGCGAATCCGGTGAATAATAATTGTGCATGTCACGCCATTTTTATGTCAGGCATAATGATGGCGCAATATAGATTTTTTATAGATTTATGTTAAGGGTATTACAACGTGTGATATCTAGATTTGATGTATAACAACACATTCGCCTCATAAAGTTGAAATTATTTAATTAAAGTTTGAAGCTCGAGAAAGTAGGCAACTCTGTAGAAAAAAAATCTTATATAAACTTATATCTTTTATTAACCTAGATATTGGACTTACGCGCACTAGGTGGCACGGTGTATATACAGGGTGCCACTAAAAGATCTGGGCAAAATTCTACCACCTTGGAATCTTTAGAGGTAATTCAACAATAGGAAATCTAAAAACCAACAACGACAGGTATGTAGAATTCAAGTGGCCAAGAACAATAAAAATTACAAAAAAATGTGAAGCAAAGGAAGAAGAAGAACGGGAGTAAATTAATTCAATTCACTTCAATCCACCTATTTGGAAAATGTTCATTTAAAGTAAAATAAGTATGAAGTGACTTAAATCAGTTACAAATAATGCAATAAAAAAAGCAAATTCTCGTCTATACGGTATCAAAATTCTTTACTCATATTCGTCATGATTTATTGCCGATTTCCTGCTATATCTATATTTGTAAAATAACTACTTGCTTTTTAGTGACATTGTTTTCATAATGAATTATATACTACAGGAAGTGCTTGTAATTAGTTTATTTTATGTAAGTAATCGTCGTGACTTATAGTGATTTTATTTCGAAGAATAGATATCTATCAGGTAACTACTCTAATCACATTTGTATTTCTTATGATAATAATGAATGAGACACTTCCGCTATAAGTACGTGTATCAATTGTCAATTCTGTAGATTTTACTACGCAACTAAATTTGGAACTACACAGTAGGTATACAGAAAAGCGTCTTTATTTGTATATATGTAAAGAGTTGTCACAAAATTCATGCAAAAAAACGCAGGTTTTTAATTAAAAATTGTAAATTTCCTATTGAATCATAATAGGCCAGCCAAATTATCGAAAATACATCGTTTTTTTGCCAAAACTCTGTACAATTCGCAAAAGTTTAGTTTAGTTTAGTGTTTATTGACCATGTTAAATTACATACAATCTTTATGGTAAGTCATATACAAAAACAAAAAATGTATAGATA